AAAGGGAGGAGTCTAAGCCAAGGGCCCTACCTCTTAGCCCCACCCCTGTCCACCAGGCCCTGCTCTCACCTTGATGATCTCCACCAGCTGATCTACCCCACTGTCCCCAGGGAAGATGGGCTGGCCCAGGAGGAGCTCGGCCAATACGCAGCCAGCTGACCACACATCTGAAGGAAATGGGGGAGAGTCAGGGCTACCACACTCATCCCCTCACAAACATTTCTGTCCCTCATGGTCATCCTGAGAGGGACCAGGAGCCCCATCTTCTCAGCTTAGAGAGGAAATGCCTTATTCAAGGTCATACACAGCTAGGAGTTTGAACCTCTAGATCTGCCTGACTGCACTACAGTCTCCAATCTAAGTGTGTTTCCAGCCCTCATGGCCTCCCTCCACTCAGCAACCCCAATGAGCCCTTTCTCTGCCTCTAGCCTTGGAGGACAACCCAGAAGGCCTAGAATAAGCAACTGTGCTCTCTGGGCCTCAGAAAGGTAGAGCCTTAAGTCCTGGGCTGCCATGCTCACTCCCTAACTTCTATCCTGCCCATGGAAATTGCTGCAGCCTTGTACTCTCCCCTTTCCCTTGTCTGTACCCTGACCCCCATGGCACAAGTTCACTCATAAGGACCACCTCACGCAGCTGATGAACGTTTTCTTCCAAATCCTTCACACCCTCCACATGCCTGGAAGGTAGCACTGTCGTTCCCACCAACAGGGAGGGACACAGGCCCTGTGAGCAGGTCACACCCTGATGGTGGCAAAGCCTCACCTCAAATTCTCCTAAGGTCGCCATCAGCCCCTCCCCCCGGATGAGAAGAGAGGGCAACTGGGAGGTTCCAGAGCCAGTATGGACTCTGGAGTTGGGTCAGCTTTCAAAGCCCAACCCTGCCCAGTCCCAGCGGTGCAACTGTAGGCAGGTGGCCTGCGACTGCTCATCTGTAAAGGAGTGTACGACGACACTGCCCTCCTAAGTTTGTGAGGACTGCATAAAAGGACAGACATTAAGCTTCTTTTATCACCAAGCCTGGCAGAGGCACACAGAACTTAAAAACTGCCACGACTGCTGTCCCCACCCCACCCTCCTGTAAGTCTGACCGATAGATGAGGTGTAATCAGTGGCTCCAAAGATCAGCTCCGGGGCCCGGTAGTAGCGAGAACAGATGTAGGAGACGTTGGGCTCCCCCCGGACCAGCTGCTTTGCACTGTGGGAAGAGGGGACAGGAGTAAACACAGGCGAGGGTCAGGACCCCTCCTCGCCCCTTTGGCCACCCAGCATATCCCAGGTCAGGCCCACCTGCCAAAATCGCAGAGCTTCAGGACAGCAGTGTCAGGGTCCACCAGCAGGTTCTGGGGTTTGATGTCACGGTGACACACGCCCTGGGAGTGGATGTAGGCCAAGCTCCGGAAGAGCTGGTACATATACACCTGGGACAGGCAGGGGACATCAGAATTCCAACCCCGCTCTCCTCAGAATACACCACTGCTCCACCTTTGTGGCCAGAAGAGCCCTCCAGGCCCTCTCTCGCTGACCTGAAAACTCTTCCACTGCCCCCTGGTTCTCAAACTGCGCATCAGAATTGCTCGGAGGCCACATGAAAGCAGACTGCCAGGCCTGCTCCCAGTCTGAGATTCAGTAAGTTCAGGATGGAGCTTTTGCAACAAGCCCCCAGTGCTGGTGCTGGTCCACACTCTGACAACTACCACTTCAACCCCACATCTCAGCAGAAGCCTGATGAATAAGAGACATCAGGAAGGCCTTGCTTTAAAGCAGGCTGGGGAGCCAGGCACTCAGCTGCCCCCTCACCGAGGCCACCGGCTGGAGGAAGGGCTCAGCCTCCTTCATCTGTCAGTCGGACCACCCATGAGCAGCCCCTCTCCAGCTGGGTTTTCCTGCCACTCTCCCTCCCAGTGACTAGAACATAAGTGCCAAGGGAGCAAGAACCTTTTGTTTCATCGCTGCCACGTCCCCCAGGGTCTAGACCACTGCCTGGCAAGTAATAACTGCTCGGGCCTGCTTCCTGGGCCCCCTCCTCCTCTATTC